TATTATATTATTTATTTAGTACTATTATTATTTAGTACTATTATTTAGTACTAAATATTCTTAACATTCAGTCCTCAAAATGTCCTGTAGTTTTGCTTTTACCTGTTAAGTCATATCTCAAGTTTTAGAAAGAATATACATAATCAAAAATAAATGAATTGGGCCAGGGATTTACCTCAGTGGTTTCGCTGCCTGCTGTGCAAGCGCAAGGACCCAAGTTCGATCCCCGGTACCAAAAAAAAAAAAAAAAAGAATTAAATGACAAAAATATATACAATCAAAACTAAATGAATTAAATGATACCCATTGTTTTACAAGCACCACCTTTCCCCCCATAATTACTATTCACACACAGGTATGCTATTTACGGTAGTTCTTTGATGTTTGACAATTTAACATGAAGTTTTGACTCTTCAGGACATATTCTAATAATTCCATGATACTGAGGTCCACAGTTTAGTTTTGAACCAGGAATCTGCTGCAAAGGAGGATTTATTTGTTGAAGGCAAGAGTCCCATTTCAGTGAGTGTTACCATTTGTTGATGGAATGTGCTGAAACTCATGAAGGGACGAGAAAGAAAAATAAAGCACTAATGATAAAAGTGAAAAACTGAAATCACCATTAAAGTAGCACTTTATAGACAAATATGTCCAATTTAGTAGTGAGTTATATCTATGATACGAACAAACTCACTTTGTGTTCTATACTAAAAGAAGAACTTGTAATTTACAGCCATTCCAAGCAGCAAGTGCTCTTACTTAGCCCAGTGGTTAGTGTATGAATAAGTGCAACAAATATGTACTATGGCCCTGATGGTTTCAGTGGTGAGTGTTATAAAACATTTAAGCAAGAAATAGCACAAGCTTGAAGCATACTTTTTCTGAAGATGGAAAAAGAAGGCACATTCTTCACTTCACTTTATGAAGCTAATATAACAGTGATGCTAAAGTCAATTATAAAATTTTATAAAAATGGAAATTTACAGCCTACCTTAACCCACAGAATAGCTGTAGATACTAGTAAATCAAGTCAGCCATCAAAAGTTGGGTGTGCCTCAGGAGGGCTGCAGTGTTGTTTTAACAATAAATTGTTTAATATAGTTTGCCAGGAGAAAAATCATTATCAGTTCCCAATGGGTGCAAGAATTGAAAAAGTTTTCTTTCATGATTAAAACAAATTCTTGGCAAACTCTGAATAAAAGGTACCCTCCTTTATATGATAGAATATCTACAAAAACCCTAAAGCAAATCTGATGATGAAACATTAGAAGTATTTTCTTTGAGAAACAAATGAAACAGGAGAAACATGCCTGCTGTCACCACTTTCTTTATATAACATATTGAATGTCTTAGCTAATTTAAGATGGCTAAGAGGAATAAAAGAAAAAGTGGAAAGGATTCATAAAAAAGGAACAATATTATTATTTTTCGGTGATTGAGGTATGTAAATTTGTCACAAACCCAAAGGGAGATAGGTTATTAGGGTTCATTAGTTATACAAGATTGCTGAACTTATAAGAAATCAGTTGATTTCATATGTACCAGATATAAACAGGAAAGACATTTTTAAAAAATATACAGTGCCTTGACAGCAGCACTAAAATATCTCAAGTACCTAGGAATACATTTAACAAGATATTGTACTTAGTGAAGAAAATTATAAAACAAACATTGAAAATAATTAAATGGAGAAATATACTATATTTATAGTTTGCATATAATAAGTATAAAATATTTTCACTTCAGTTCAAATTTCTTTATTTTTTTGTTGCTACTAGGGATTGAGCATGCTAGGCAAGTGCTTTAGCCCTGAGCTTACATCCCCAGCCTTTTAAACTTTTATTTTGAGATAGGGGCTTGCTAAATTACCAGGCTACCCTTAAACTTGTGATCCCTACTGCCTCACCCTCTCTAAAAGTTGGGATTACGGCTATGTAATACTGTGCCCAGCTTTTAAACTAGTTTTCTGAAATTTTTAGTCTATATCCTGGCGTGTAATGTTATGAAATTTAAGCTGATTGGATGTAAAATGAATATGTAAATGTAAAGGGTTAAGAGACCAAGATACTCTTTAAGTAGAAAAAGAAAATGGAAGGAATTTACCTTCAGATGTCATTATCTGGGACATTACAGAACTATAGTGATTGGGATTACATAATGGTTTTGGCAAGTACTAGACAAATAAATCAGCATCACAGACACCCTAGAAATCCTTGCATGCACACACAGGCGCTAGATCTGTGATAGAGGTTATGTGGCAGATCATTTGAGAAATAACTGATTTTCATTAAATGGTGATGTCTTCATTTGTTATTCTTGCTAGGGAAAATGTGAAGTTGGACCCCTACATCAAGCTGTACCAAAAATATCAACCTTATGTAGATTAAGGAACTAAATATTCTAAAGGAAAATTTAAAAGATTTTATACTAAATGTAGAAAGAATATCTTCATGAATTTGGATAGGGAAAGATTTCTTAAGACACAGAAGCTCTTACCCTAAAGGAAAAATTGATTTATTTTACCACATTAAAATTAGAAATTCCTTTTATTCTCAATTTTTATTATTTATTAATACATGTTTAGTATCTAATGATCGATCACATTGCTCATGGGGAGCTGGTACACATGCATAACACACCTTAATTCTCTTTTCACTCCCCAGCTCTTGATCCCCTTCCTATTTGAAAAAGATCTGTCTCCCTACTTCCTGTTATCTTCTGTTTTGCTCTTTATTTATATCTTAGGCTTCTCATATAAGAAAACCATGTGATATTTAAGCTGTGTGTCTGATTTACTTCATTTAACATTATGGTCTCAATGTGCATCCATTTTCCTCCAGATGACTCAAATTTATCCTTCTTTATGGCAGAGTAGTACTCCATTGTGTATAAATACCACATTTTCTTTATCCATTCATCTGTTGATGGACATATAGGCCTCAAAAGATTTAGCTATTATGAATTGTGCTGCTATAAACATAGGTATGGATATATCACTGTAATACAATGACTTTTACTCTTTCAGGAAGATACCTAGAAGGGGAATAACTGGATCAAGTAGAATTTTTAGTTTTAGTGTTTTGAGGAATCGCTATATTCATTTCCCTGGTAGTTGTACATTCCCACACTTTTTCCCTGCATCCTTGCTAGCATTTGGTATTATTTGATTTTTTTATTACAGCCATTCTTTCTGGAGTAAGATAGAATATCAGTGTTGTTTTAATTGGCATTTCTGTAATGACCAGAGATGTTGAACTTTTTTCATGTACCTTATTGGCCATTTGTACTTCTTCTGAGAAGTGTCTGTTCATTTCAGTTGTCCAATTTTTGATTGGGCCCTTCAGGTCTAATGTTTTTGAGTTCTTTATATAGTCTAGATATTATTCCTCTGTCCAAGGAACAGCTGGCAGAGTTTTTCCCATTCTGTGGGTTGTCTCTTCACTCCTTTGGTTGTTTTCTTTGCTGTGCAGAAACTTAAATTTCATTTGATTCCCTTTGTTGATTCTTGGTATTATCTCTTATGTAACTGGGATTCTGTTCAGAAAGTCATGGCATGATTAAAAAGCAAACAAAAGAATAGTATTTCATTTAAATGAAGATTAAAAATAGCCAAAACCAAAATGTATAATTTAAAGATTAAAGCTTGATAAAAAACCTAAAGAGTAAAAAAAAAAATTAGTAGTACAGATGCTATTTATGGGAGAAGTTCATGATATAAATTAAACATGACATGTATTTTTAATTCAGTTTGAAAATATGCCTCATTTTATCAGAAAATTTGTTATTTATGTTTAATATAATCATACTGATATTTGGGTTCATAA